GCTACAGAAGATCATTCCATCTTGTTAGGAAATGATATGGCTATAGAAGATCAATCTATCTTGTAAGGAAATGATATAGCTACAGAAGATCAATCTATCTTGTAAGGAAATGATATGGCTACAGAAGATCAATCTATCTTGTAAGGAAATGATATAGCTACAGAAGATCAATCTATCTTGTAAGGAAATGATATGGCTACAGAAGATCAATCTATCTTGTAAGGAAATGATATGGCTAAGTTATTCATGATCATCCATAAAATCCTAGATTAGTCCAATATATCAATTATAACTATGAGAAGCCAAAGATTCGAACAACCACCGATATCACTGGTATAAAAATATAATTCTGATGAATGTACAGATAAAATATGGGCTTATTAATTAAGCAATTAATTAAGTAACGTTGCTATTTATTGATGTACATTGTATTACAAGATGATTAAAGAATACTATATTTCTTAATATGAGACAATTCTGACAGATGAGGATTGTAATAATGATGATGGTACTTTTTACGTGAGATAGTTCTGACTCAGGAAGATTGTAATAATGATATGGTACTTTTTACGTGAGATAGTTCTGACTCAGGAAGATTGTGATCATGATGATGTTTTCCTTATTATGTATGTTGCATTTCGTATTTCAGATTAGTATTTGCTATCGACACAAAAAAAAAATCTGTCAAAAGGGTATAAAACACGCAGTTACAAAACTAGTGAAATAAATATATCTCCGGACACATATGATATTTTTCTAAATAAGTGTCAAATATCCCTTGAGTTCCACATTTAAGGCAATCTAGATGCTATAGCTCTATGTAATGATAGACACAGACCATCAATGTTTGGATATTAACTTTGCTTAACCCTGCGATAAGCTTGAACGCTTATAACGCTAGAATTCTGAGTTCGATTCTCTGTGGTGTGCAGAACATAGACAGCCTGTTATGAGGATTCACGCTAAAACCAACAGACCTTTTATGAAATCTACGACAAGTATAAACAAATTTTAATAATGGTTTTCAAACGAGACCCAAAAACTTGAGCGCTTTCGAATAGTTTACTATTTTCCCGAAAAAGAATAGTGAAAACCGTGGCAAGTATTGCATGTGATTCTATGTGCTATCTTCTTAATCAAAATACAAATTTTAATGAAACAAAAAAAGAAGACACTTCAATGATACCCTTGAACGAGTGAATAAACAAGGCTTTATTTACAACGAAAATTCAGGTTTAGTTAAGACCAGTGTGATCCATGAAACGCACAAATATTTACTTGTATAACAATTAACCATCAACAACAATAAAAAAAACCACTCCAAAATGAACCTTTGAAATGTTCAGTATCTCAACAATTCATGTCTGATACAGGATAAACTGTGGATTATCAGAAACATGAATGTATAGAAAATCTTAATCCTCCAGAAAAATTGTTTGTGCTATGCAGAAAACACAACATCTTTACTAACCCAAGTTTCTAGTTATATTCATCTTAACACTTCAACAATAACTTTGTATTAAACACCACTTTTTATATAGAAGTGTTATAATCAGGCGTGTTGTATTCTCTATTAAGGCGACCGATACTTTCTAAAAGTTGTGTCGGACTTTATTACTGCTTGTATCATTGTTTCCACATTCACGTGCGTTGGCTTTCTTCATCCCTTATAAAGGCAAACCGACAGTGATTGAATGTTGTATACGTGAGTTTGTTAAAACTTGTTTCAGTGTGTTTAATTTCAATTGTGTTGTCCCTTCCTTCATCCTCCTGACCCATATTCACTGGAGGTTGTACAACTGACTGTGAAATTATTTGTATGATATCTAGAACTAGTATTATTTTATGTTTAACCTTTTCACGACGAAGGGTATTTTGTATTTCTAGGAAACAAGAAAAATTTGATTAATTTACAGTGGTAAAAGAAAGAGTTGTAAAGTGGGGGTGCTTGGCTAGACATGCAGATTTTACAATAAGAGACTGAACGTATAAAGAGCTGCTAAAGGCAGCTTAATCTAAGGGGTTCTGGTGGCACGCCCCCTAGAAAATTAATATAATAATATAATTTACAGTTGCTATATAAGTCAAATATGTAACTCCATCACCCTCGGTTCCAACGCCTTTAATTTATTGTATATTTTATCGAACAAAGATCGCTCTATTCCCAAGGGCCATGTGGATGTACTTTGTGATTTTCACAATAAATCTAATGATACTTAGTTTATGGAATACAGTGGGCGTACCAAGTATGCCTCTATAGTGAGTAAGGGATTAAACTCGACAGAATTCTAGTATTTAAAATGGGATTTGGGCAAATTGTGTCGTAGTTTTATCCAGTTATAGCTTTAATCCTATACAGGAACATAAAATAAAATAAGATATGAAATGTTTAAAAGTCTTAAACCAATGGAAGAGCATATATATGAATCCCAGAAAATACCGAAATGATAAGCATTCCCGTAATCCTGAATTGTTTTTTTGCAAACACTTCAGTTGTTCTGTTGCTTCTAAAGAAAACAACAACAACATTTTTTTCTATTCAGCCCATAAACTGAGTACTAATTGATTATAGTGGAACTTCGATGGACAATCCACATATTGTTTTAGTATTCATTTATTACATAAGCTTTCGGTTCAATAAGTTGTTGAAGGCTCATGTCTCTGAGCCGAAATCTTGTGTAATATACATATATATATACATAACTAAACCAACGTGCAGATTGTTCGATAAAGTTCTAGCTTAAATAGTTTTTTTCTTATGGTGAAGTTTCAACAATGGATGTTTTATAATTATTCAAACTATTCTGATTTAGTTACTTTCTTCGCATACAAAGGCGGAATCTCTGCCTCCAGTGGCAAAGCGGTATGTCTGCTGACTTATACCGCAAGAAACTGGGTTTCGATACCTGTGGTGTTCAAAGTATGTAGCTTTGTGCTTAACTACAAAAAATAAAATAAACGAAATCTCTTCCTATTTTTATATATTACAGTCTTTAATTACCAAAATCAAAAATGTAACAAGCATTCAGGTCGAAAGGAGCGGAATAACGGTATTATTCAATACTTAACTTTGTACTTTATAGTATGGAGGGTTAATTCGAATTAGGTGTTCTTGAGAAAAGACTAGAACACTGTATCTTCTTTATACCGAAGACAGTCTACTGAAAATATAACTACCAAGACCCGGTTCTTGAGGAATGTCGTGTGACGCAATATCTTTATCCACTCTTTCTATAAATATACCTCCTGCATTTGCCCCCGCCCTCTCTCATCCCAGTGGCTCAGCGGTAAGTCTGAAGGCTTATAAAGCTAAAAACCGGGTTTCGATACCCGTGGTGGGCACAGTTAGAGGAAGTGGTAAAGGAGTTTCAGTTAATAGTTCTGAGGTAAAGAAGGGGAAGATAAAACAGAAATCTAGAGTCAGTGCTTTCGATTCCCGACTCAAAACGTCTATGGTGTTAGTGTTGAAAATTAAGGAATAACTAGGTCAGGTGTCAGTAGTATTTCCGAAGGAAGTTGTTAACTAAATACATTTTATCATTTGGCGCGAGATGGCAGCACACGATAACATAGTAAGAAAAGTCTTGGGAAATTATGATTGTAAAAACGTAATATGCCTTAGTTTAGACTTGTGTTAAAACAGGCACTCAAATGACTTGAACTCCTGTCGGAAAACAACTTTGTATTAAAGAACAAAATTATAGTCTATCTTCTCGCGCCTTGATTACGAAAACTAGTAGATCTACTCGCATATAAGTAGGTCTCTATGATATACACATTCACAAGTCACGAATCTTGAGCTATCTATAGCTCTAGTTGCAGTATATAGCATAATGTCCGAGATGTGTATAAATTACACACAACCTGTTTTGTAAAATTATTTATCGAGCCCATAACTATTCCATTATAATTCAACTGATGCTTAAACAATTTTAATACAGAATATACTAACACTTCATTGATAATATCAATATTCTACACAGGTAGAACCAAAGACAGTCAATTTACCTTTTTATCACATAGCTGCTAACAAGTTGTAAATAAGATCTGATCAAAATTTAAAACTAAAATATGAGCGCTTTGTAAAAACGATTCAATTAAAGAATTTGCTACAAATCTTTACTGAGTAATAAAAATATTTTTTATACCACAACACTAACTGTTCAAGAAAACGCATGTTTTTTGTTTGTCTTGTTTTTTACCAAAATGAATTTTAACGCAAACTAATTAGATTAGAAGGTTTAGACACATCAGGAATTAAGAGGTTGATTACCGTGTTCCCATGTTCTGGTATTTGAAGGTCAGCTAGTAGCCGGGAAGAGATGGCTAATCCTCACTAGAAGTGATGATATAATCCTCTTAGATATATCTAAACCCTCATCAAACACATTTCATCCTACTCTCCGCCAACGCTTAGGGTTGGTGGACTCTGTAGAACTCGGCGTGTCTTAAGAAATGTGTAGTTCCTGTAGCGAAGGCAGTCACTAGATTGGAATGGACTGTGAAAGTAAGATTCAGTTTACGTGAACGATAACGAAGAAACAAAGAGTCAGCAACACACCTGTATTGAACACAGTAATAGGTGAATCTAAAGACTTTGAGCCGATCTTAGAGCCGCTACCGACACGTGCCCGATAGGTTAGGTTTCTCCACTCTCTATGTCTTTCAAGATAGTAGAGCTGGAGCCCCAACCTTCAGCTTAAAGCACGAACCCTAGAGCTGGCTAAGTTGAAGCTGGGACAGTCTCCAAATAAGGCCGATGAAGGTACTTAAACAGACCATGTGGTGGCGCTTGAGAAGTGGAGCTTTGTGGGCCGAGTGCAAAAGAGGAGGCTAGAGTAATAGACTTCTTCTCCATTTGAATTGATAGGTTTGGAAGCTGAAGATGGCCAACTCTTAACTTAGCAAGATTTTCTCTATAACTGTACTATTTGTGCAGGAAACTTGTTGCATGACCCAACAGCTAAAACACAAATAAACAGTTTGCCTTTAGATTACATAAAGCGCCATGTTTAATTTGGCACTATGACCCATCAAACATCAATTCTTTCCCCAGTGAAAGCGCCTGGATTAAAATAGCAGCTACGCCACCAAAAGGCTCGGTTACCTAAAAAGATCGTACGTAGGGTAATTATAGCGACAGCTTTGGCTAACGTTCCTTGTTGGAAGATCCTGATTTAGAGACATCTTTACTTCATCGGTTTTGCTCTCTGAAGGTGCCCCTTTCTGAAGTTTCTTTTATTTAAAGGGTATTAAAACTTGTCATTTTCTCGTAATACAATAACGTGACTCGTTATGAAAGTCGAAAATTATATGATGCCGTCTAATTACCTATTCCAGATAATAAGCGTATCAATTCTGTTATTGTTTAACGTATTTTTCAGTATTATCTAAGCTCTTTTATAAGTCACATAACTTTAGATGTATAAATTCTACTTATATATTATTAATTTTGTACTTATTATGTAGTCTAGACAAGCAGTTGAGAAGTATACAATATATCACCAAACATCGCAAGCATATCCCTATTGTGTGATAAGAACTTTCGTTTTCTTACTGTACTGGTAGACCTTAAAAAGGGGTTATTGTATTACAATATTTATATTATTGACGTTGTGTGTTTTACAGAAACTTGCTGTATACTGATAAAATGAGCTCTTTATTTCCAATAAATCCAATGAACGACATAGACATAGGTTTTCATAGCTACGTCTTATAACACAGTTAATTAACAATGTGTGCTTTAATATTTCTTTTAGAGAATGGAGAATCTATGGATCGCTTCGACTAAACGCGTCAAACTTGTGGAAATTCCACTTTAAGCCTTCCAAATAGCAAGGGATTTTATAAAAAGGTAAATAAAGAGAAGGATATTCAAATCATAAAGTACTGGTTTCTATATACTTCAGATAATCCATCAATAGAATATAAACTTAATCTAAGTAAAACAAGACATAAAAACCCCACTAGTCCTCTTTGTAAAAAAATATAAAAATAGTTGAAATAAAATATATTACTTATTGATTTGTCTCTTTAAAGATCTGTGGAGATGAATTGTCTTCTTTAACAAAGCGTTTTCGTGGGGATAGCAAGAACCAGTTATGACAAAATTCGTAAAGCTTATGTCAGTACGTTGCTAACATCTATGTATTTTAGCTAATTTATGTTCTTCGAAAGTAAAGAGAGTCTGATCAGTTTTGTTTTTTCTCTCTGGTTGGAAGTTATTACTTGGTTTCGCCCAGATTCTCACGTTCATAAATGTTATAATTAAGACACTGAAATATTTGAGCTTAGACTATCCTGGCAGCCGATCCCAAAGTACCATTCGCTTTAAGCATCAGATTCCTACTTTACCACCGTGAGTCACGCCCTCTTCTGTAGTACAAACTACTTGTTACGTCATACTAGAGTAGCGATTGTGGTGCCAGCTAGGAGAGATTTTACGAAAAGAAAAATTAGCTATCACAAGTATTATGTTTCTTGCATAAATGTAGCTTCATCAATCTTTTGAAATATTTATTTGATTCGTCTGCAATTTATATATTTATTTATTAACTAAGACTATCTTAATAACGAATAATGGAATTGATTTAGGGATTTACGTGAATTCGACTTGGTTAAAGAGTATTCACAATACGCTTTGTTGAAATAACAAATCCTTTAAAATGAAAATTTGACTATATCATTTAATAAACGTACTATAAGCCGAAAAGAAAAAATCAAAACAATTAGTTATAAAGCTTAGATCATTAATTAATTTTCTTTACCTTGTGGAAACAAGTGGTCTATAAGATTGGTGTGTTTGTGTTTAAAGGACAAATTAAATACACGGTGCATATTTACTAATATACCATTAGAGTTAAGAAAATCTTAGATTAAGTTTATATTTTCAATACTTAGTTAAACTTAAGTTTCTCCTCCCCTTTTTTAAAATCCCACACAAAACAATCTATTTAACATTACTTATTAAAATATTGCTTACTGTCCCCCGGTGGGTCAGTTGAAAGTTTACGGACTTGCAACGCTAAAATCTGTGGTTCGAATTCCCCGTGGTAGACAGAGCGCAGATAACCCATCGTATAGCTTTACGCCAGAACAATAATATATTACGTAACTTAAATGTAATAACAAAAAAACGTAATACGGAAATATCTTGATTTCAGTAAATATGAGCCTAAATTAATTTTTGCTTTAAGTTGGTTCCATTTTTTAGGTTAATAAATTAGTGAGCTATAACTTTTAACTGTTAATAAATCTTTCACCATCATCTTCACGAATAACTGTCATAAGTTGCGATTTAAAAATTGATTAAAAATCCTACAAGATGAAGAAACTTTACACATATTTTTTTTTTTGGCACTGCAATGGATTAATGCTAGAAATTCAAATGAATTCTTAATCTTTCTTATTTATAGCGGTTAGTAGTGGATCACTATTAATCGCGTGTGGTGGCGCTGAGAGAGTTATTTAAGTTTGTGGTCGAAACAAAGGTGAATATTTTGTCTGCATTGATATTTTCTTATGACGATGTCAGCATTCTTGGTAATTTGAGGTCACATAATCGTCTCGAAAAAACTATGAAGGTGTACATATTATCCAGTTTTCTCACCTTCATTTTGTGATGTTTTTCTAAGAAAGTTTGTATCAAAACGATACATTTACAAAATGAAATAATAATTAGCACTTTTAATCTATGTTTTCGCAGACTTCTTATTCAGTTTCATTTTTAGTCTTGAGATGACGTTTAGCGCTCCATGTTGAGCCTTTATCAACTTTTATGTTGCAAGACTCCATAAAACTACAGATTTTCTAATCTACTATGAAGAAAAACAGTGTTGCTGTAAATACAATATGCAAGAAGTCAATGGCGATAAGTGCTTTTTGTTTTAGCGCTAAGCTGCACAGTGGAATATCTACATTGTTTGTTTCCGAAATACACTCAGGGCTACACAGAGATTATCAGCGTTAGTTGTCTCTAATGTTGAACTGGTAAATGAGGGAGAAAGCAGCTAGTCAACAGCAACCACCGCCAAGTACATCTATTGGCTTCTCTAATCAAATAGTGGCATATAATCGTCACCTTTATAACTCACCTGCGGCTCCAAAGGGCGGAGCGCGAATTTGCGGAACAGGATGCGAACCATGGACCCTCGGGTTCTCAGTCCAGTTCTCTAACTACTAGGTCATGCCCACCCTAATTTCTGCGTTAAATACGTATCAAAAAGTAGAGGTCCAGGCAGGCGTAGAGATTGAAAAACAAAAATCAATAGATAAAGTGTCAATATTCCATTTGTAAACAAATATGTGTAACATTAGAGCTATGAAGATTTAAGATAAAAAATTGCACTTACATAGACGTTTAACTTCAAAAATGTATCATAAAATGTGTACTTTTCTCTTCGGTGAGGGCCGGACGTGTCCTTGGGGTTAGCGTGCCGTACTGTAAATCATAGAGTTTATGGCTCGTGCCCCGTTGCTGCGCAGTGTGGGCCTTGGGGGCACTTTAAGAATGACGGTCAGATTCCACTATTATATCACACAAGAATAAAAAAAAACTGACGGGGGGTGCTGTTGTCTAGCCGCTTTTCCTCCAGTATAACAGTTCAAAATTAGGAACAGCTAGCCCAGATAGCCCTTGAGTAACTTTGCGTGTATTTTGAAAATAAACAGTTTTTCCCAGAATGTGGATATTCAAATGATACAGTTCTTTTAAGAGAAATATTTGAACTTAGAAATCTTTTCTAATTCAACTTTGTTATGAATACCAAGGTTGAAGTGATGTAGGTTTTGTTATTTTCCAGATTACCCTCTTCTAGGTTTTAGAGCACGTAGAAGATTAAGACACCAGTGCAGAAAGAGAAGGAAGAGTGAATTAGTAAGCACAGTAAAACACCCCCCGCCTTTAGTTCCCAAAAACCTTTCTCTATACCCTATATTAATTCCTGAAGAGTTTTTCATGTTTCTATTCATTTGTTAATGCGAAATATTTATGAAACATTCCACTTTTAAAGAAAATATTGTTCTTGTTTTTAATGCAGAGCTACACAATGGGCTGTCTGCGCCTTGTCCATCACGGGGGAATCAAACCCTGGATTTTAGTGTTGTAAGTCCGTAAACTTACCACTGATTCACCAGGGGATGTAATCAAACGAGCATGTGTATTTTTTATGTTTATCTGCAGAAAATCATCACACCTGCTATACACATGGCTCTTACATGGGAAAAAGAAACAGTAAATTTTGTCTTTTGGTTTAGACTATCAGAGACTTTAGAAGAAAACCGCTGCTACTGAGAATGTAGTCGGCTAGAGGAGATGCAGACATGTTGCATAGATTTCGTCTAAAAATAGAGAAAGAATGTTCAATACGAGCGGAAACCCGGGAAGAGGTGTTACTGACGTTCACCAAGCGGCAGATCGGTGAAACCTTTATGGTTTGTTCGATTGTCAAGAACAAGCTTTTGGCTTTTGTTGGATACAAGAAATGTATCCCCGCCAAACTCTGCTCGTAAATGTTAGCAGATGTGAGCTACAATGTTACATATATTAAATATAAATACGCCATAAAGCAAGTGAAAATGATTTATAAATACAAGGTTAATTCAGCAAAATCAATAAAACAGTCAACAGTTCGATAAATTTTCGGTTTTCTTTCCACTACTCATTTTAGTTTTGCAGCTGTGGATGAATAATATAAAACATGAGGAAAACACTCATCGATATTGTGTAAAATATATTTCAACAGCCTTTACTTCTACTTTTCTTTACCGTTTGGATTTGTTTGTTTGTTTGTTTTTGAATTTCGCGCAAAGCTACACGAGGGCTATCTGCGCTAGCCGTCCCTAATTGAGCAGTGTAAGACTAGAGGGAAGGCAGCTAGTCATCACCACCCACCGCCAACTCTTGGGCTACTCTTTTACCAACGAATAGTGGGATTGACCGTCACATTATGAGGCCCCCACGGCTGAAAGGGCGAGCATGTTTGGTGGGATGCGGATTCGAACCCGCGACCCTCAGATTGTGAGTCGAGCGCCTTATCCACCTGACTACCGTTTGGAGACCAATGATTTTTTCTTCAAGAGATATGGTTAAAAACCATAAGTATCGCTTCCTTTTTAATGCTATTATATGATGTAATTTTAACACTATGATTTAATATGAAGAGATATGCTAAGTTTGTTTGGTCTTCCTGTAACTAGAGTGTAACATTATTTTTCAACTGGTGTTTTCAATCCGAACGGCACCTTATGCAGACGTGGGGTGAGCGGCCAAGTCAGAAATCTCTTGGGTTCAGCTATGGCCGTCTGTAATTTTGAACTTTATCCAGCTTACTGAACCGAATAACAGTATTGAATGTCACTTTTATAACGCGCCCACATCTGAAAGTTCAGCGATATCACGTCTCGAACCCTTGACCTTTGGGTCCACAGATTGGCATGCTAACCACTTGGTTACACCCACATACCTACTTCTGTATGGGATATAGAACATTAACCTTACTTGGTCCAGATATGCGTTCCTATAAAGATAGATTAGCGTCGTAGAAACAATAACACAAAAAATTTAAACTTCATAAAAGTTATTTTGGTTTTAATAACAGATTTTACATAATTCAGCTACGCAGATTTTTAAAATAATATTATTATTTTTTCTATCACGAAACGAATTTTTACAAATCGGGAATAAAAAAAAATTACTTACATCAAATTATTGTTTCATTTACCACAATGAACATTTTTATTGTTATGTTTGTTAACAAAAATACAAATAAACCGAAGAAAAGGGAAGAACATTGATGTCAAACGAATATGGATCCTCATTCATCTTGATTTTTTTGTGTGAAATCTACGTCTTTTAGTCTCTAAACTACGTGTTGTGGTCTTTCTTTTATGTATTGCGTTATGACATTTTGTGAAAAATCTGTACGAGATGGAGAAAAATGGATATCATTTTCGGAATCAGCGTACAGGAATTACTGTAGAACATGTAAAAATATCAAGACAATAAAACCATCGCAGGCCTGTGTAATCCATCACCTCCCCCTTCATATGACATATCCACACCAACAGTGCACATGACATGTACATATGATAACCTATGTAATAAATGTAGATATGTTTACTCCAACTTTGCTATTGAGTAAATTAATAGATGAATAAAACCGAATTTAAGGAAAACGTAAATCAATGCGCTTTGTAGGTAAAACGGACTATGTTAGTTCCTGAACCTCGTGAACCTCGTGTTTGTATTCGGCTCAAAGTGAAAAGTTAGGGATTCCGTTAGTTAGGGGGCTGGTATCGCCAGGTATGATAAAAAAAGTTAAAATGTAAAAATAGATGAGGCTAAAAAATACATTTCTTGAACACTATTTTCACCTACGACAAACTACGGCATCTATACGTTGGTAAAAATGCCAATCCTGTCTTATATGACGTATATTCAAGTAGCTAAGAAAACCCGAATCGACGGAACGACGAATAAAACGAGAAATGGATGATGTTTAGAAGTGCTCAAAACGTGAAGACGTCACATTTACTAAAAATAACAAAATTGCAATAAAACTGAACGTACCTTCATTCGTCTTGTCATTTTATTTCTAATGGTCACAAACGTGCCTACTAAAATCAGCTCTCTGGGACAAACAAGCTCTATTTATATATATTTCGGGCAACTTGCCCGAGTTAACATAAAATAGCTATACAGGCGAGAAGCCTACTGATAATTTCGCTTTTACGACCCACATTAATACTGAATTCAGTAATAAATGCAGCAGATAAACTGTTTCTCTCAACAGATTCGGTAGCATCTGCACCGACAAGAGGTTTAGATAGGAAGCGTTATTTGAAATATATGCGTATTCTCTTAGTTTTGACTGAGGTGTGGTAAAGAAAGAGACTGTGAAAGTAATCGTTATTTATCACACAATCAAAAGGAAAACTATGATTTCCTTAGTTTTTAGACATAAAGAAGACTGATGACGAGTGTATGGCAAATATATAAAATCTGTCTGAAGATCTGTTTGGAAATCTGTGTGAAATGTATCTCAAATTAAGAAAGTATAGAAAATTTCGCCTTCACATAATGTGCTCTACTTTACAGCAAGTTTTCTTGCTCGTGATACTATACACGAATAACTCAGAACGATTAGTAATTAGGGCAGAAGAGACCTAGCCATGCTCCTTGACCAACGTGTTACTTTTAAACGTACATAAAAATGTGTGAACGAAAAATTTTAGGTGAACATTAAATATTCACGTACCTAATAAAGGATATGGAAAAGACCTAGTATGCCTGCATACTATGTATCTCTTATCTCTTTTATCTTCAGAATTATTCAGCTGTCCTTCATTTCAAAATGTAAAACCTAATTGTTTCAAAAATTGGTGTAATTTATTCTCGTCCCTGAAAAATACTTACATAACATGACAATCAAGTGAATCATAAGACATAACTTCATAAGAAAATCACAAATTAAAACTCGAAATCAAATTAGAAAATATAAACTAATACACTAATGAGCACAATTCAACATTACGTGGCAACATTAACGAAAATACAAGTTAACTCTTCTAAACATAAAAAGTATAAAACTAAAGTTAACCAACACATAATTCATCAATATACGTTTTCTTTAGTGAGCTATAATACAAAATAATCCCCTTTATATAAAAACTAGAAATGCAAGGCAGAACAAACCCTTCAAAAATCAGATCAAAAATACAAAATGAAGCACACCCTTTAAAACCAGAAATACTGAGTGAAACAACGAACTTAATGTTAAACCAAAAATACCAAATTGAAATAAACCCTTCTTTGTAACGTTACAATACAAAATAAAACAAGTATTTTTTAATGTTACAATACAAAATAAAATAAACCTTTTAATATTATATGAAAAATAAAATGACTCTTTCAGTATTACATCAAAACTTATTAATAGTAAATTAAAAACATAAACAATTAAAATCAACCAGGTAATAAGCATAGCTACTGAATATACTTTTCCCATGTTCTTGCTTATGAAGATTAGAATTGATTATTTGATCAGTTGGGTACCTCAGCTGTTAACGATATTTTCGGCAATAAACCCAATAACATCTTAGAAAGCTCAGTTAGCTTAGGAAATTTAGGTTACTACTAAACCCATATCCTAAGCTAACGATGCAAAATAATCGCTAAAATAAATGTATAATAATGAAAAATAATACAAATATAACTATATATATATTAAACATTTTAACCAATACTTTTAATGGAAGTAATATTATAGAAATATGTAGAATATCTCACTTCTGGAACACTTACATACTAGTTTTTAGCTTCAAGTTCTTTCGTAAATTTATCGCTCGTTGAACAACGCAACATCAGCATAACTGTGTATAAAGAAAACATTATATGATCCTCACTAACACGTCTTGTAACAATGAAAATCCATTAAGGCTCCGACATTGTAACATTAGAAGAGCCTGACATCTGAGATAAATTACTGCTACACATGTTACTGTTTAACTGTAGAGACTAATAGCAGGGCAATAGCGCAACCAAAAATTAATGTTTATGAAAATACAAAATAATAAGTAACATATTAAATGAATTCCTGAATTGTATAATAAATAGCTAGAATATCGGTACTCTAATTAATATACAACAACGTTAAATGTAATAAAAATAAATCTATGAAACATACTATGAAACGTGCGTAACACAACTAATCTCTGTCACTTTACAAACCATATGTAGCAGGCAACAGGAAGTAATAAAAAAAAAGTTAAACCACTTGTAAAAGCCAAAAGTTAAACATGGTAAGACTGGTGAAAGTTCAATAAGACTAAGGAAAATGAAAATACAACAATGACAAAATAATGTGATTAAGTTTACGAGCTAATAAGCTATGCGTAGCCAACATTATCTGAAGTATTTGTATTTGGATATGGAAAGTTTATAAGTTCGAAAGTGTATGAATGAAAACGTTTAACTTGATTATTTGATCAATGATGCTGATATCAAAATCCAAGTTGTGAGCTTTGTTTTAAAGATAGAGCTTTTATTTTCAGAGTGAATTTTGGAGGTAAATTGTTCGGCTGTGTATAAAAAAGAACAAAATGAGATAAATTGGTATAAGAATATCAAATATATTTACAAGAGCAGAACTTTATTATAGTCTTCCTTAAACATTTAAGTTCAAATAAATATAAATGTGCAACTTGTGGTCTGAAGTTAACAACCATTGGAATTCCTCGTATTTGTAGGAAGACACTTTACCCGACTTGTGTAAATGTGTTGTCAAGTAACAAATACATGGCCTGCAGTAATTCATTTAATGTAAAGAATACATGGCCTGCAGGAGTTCATTTAATGTAAACAATACAT